AAATCAGGCCATTTACCTTGTGGTTCATCGGGTTTGTTTTCCTACTGTTACAGCCATCTATATCATAGGATATCCTTCATGAACTTATGAAGCTGCATTTAGAGAATGTTGGCTTGTTTGTTTGTTTATTCAATCTGTTTTGGAACTTTGGTATTCCAGCAGTTATAAACTTTCTTCTGATTTTTCACATATTTCTAGCTACTTTGCATGCATCTAGTTTTCATACCAACATTGTCTCTTATTATAGCTTTTTCTCTTTCTGGTATTAAGTCCTTAACACATTTAGAGACATTAATGAAATCTTCATCTCAGTCTTCATTTCAGTAGGTTAAATACCATGCCTATTTAGTTTCTTCTCAGAGTACAGATTCCACATTTCCCTATACATCTTATCTTTCCTACATCCTTCTTGTTTCAGTTTAACACATTTTAAAACATATGGATGGTCAAAACTGTAAGTAATGTGAAGGAGGCCCCACCAAAGCCTTATCTGAGTCTCTGTACCTCTGATATATTCTATGTGTTATATACCTTTTCCAGTACTGGATCACGTTGCTGTGGTTAATTTGCACATTCCGTCTTCCCTCCCAGGAAGACATTTTGTAGATGATACTAGCAATTCTTAGAATCCTTTTTCTCCAAGTTTGTCAATCTGTCAGCTCTGCCTGCATCATTTAACTGTGTTGTCAATAACTGTGTTGTCACACACACTTTATCAACAAAGTACAAATTAAAATATTAAGTAAAACCAGTCTCGAGCATGATCTTTGTTACACTTGTTGAGGAACTTCTGTGAGTACATTTTTTCCCTTTTCAACACTACAGGTTTAATATCCTTAACTGATCCCTCTCTCCATTCTTAATCTTAATCCTTAATCTCCAGACTGTTTAACCATATCCTCACTAACTCTGTTCACATGCTAGTGTTCTCATTGTGTCATTACTTCCCTATTTCTTGCTGTGCAAATTTCTGCCCTCTTGTATTCCTTTATCCATAGGCATGTACCAGAATTAGGTGTTGATTTTCTGCAATTCTATCTCAGCCTTTTCTCATCATTTCTCAATATCTAGTTATGGATTCAGACATTTTTCCCCGAGATATTTATACTGAACTTAATATTGTTGAACAACATATTTAATATACTCATTACTGCACACTGCATGATATTGAAGAGCTTGCAAGCAGTTGGTTGATGTTAATGGAAAGATTTCTGACTTCAGAAAGAAAGCAGTCATTGGGAACAGCTACACAAAATTAAAAGCAAAATTTTTTTGGAAACTCTATAAGGTAAATCTGAGTAGCTCAGCCAAACCACAGAATAACCTATGGCCATCTGCTGTTTGGCTGGGGTGGAGATTCACCATGTATTTGTACTTACTGCATCAACATATGCAACGTAAAAGAAAACAATATCAAAACCACTCCATTAGAGATGATGTATAAATATGGCACTCAGACACTGTAGCACAATCTAAAATGGAGTACACCCATCACAGCATGGTTGAGGCTGGAAGGGACCTCTGAAGGTCATCTGGTCTAACTATCCCTGATCAAGCAGGGCCACCTACAGCCAGTAGACCAGAACCATGTCCCTATAGCTTTTGAATATCTCCAAGGACAAAGACTCCACAATCTCTCTTGTAGTCTGTACCCATGCTTGCTCCTCCTCACGGTAACGTGTCCTGTAGCACCCTCCAGGATCTCAGTATATTGTTATGACGACACTTCAGGGCACTTGTTTTCTTCTCTTAGGTTCTTTCAAAAAATGAGAACTATATCTAACCCAGAAATTAGTGAATTTGCAATAACAGTTACAGAATCATAGAATATCCCGAATTGGAAGCGACACACAAGGATCATCAAAGTCTAGCTCCTGGACCTGCACAGGACAACCCCAAGAATCACACCAGGTTTCTGAGAGTGTTGTTCAAACACTTCTTGAATTCTGTCAGGCTCGGTGCTGTGACCACTTTGCTGAGGAACCTGTTCAGGTGCCCAAGCACTCTCTGGGTGATAACCTTTTCCTAATATCCAAACTAAACCTCCCCTGACTCAGCTGCATGCTGCTCCCTCGGGTCCTATCAGTGGTCATCAGAGAGAAGTTATCGGTGCCTGCCTCGACCATGATGAGGTCTCAAATATTTAATATCCTTGTCTATGTTCCTGTCTGTGAGGTGACCATCCTCATCAAGTAACAGGCCAATGTTATTTCTGGACTGTCTTTTGCTATTAACACATTTTTTAAAAGTTCTTTTTATTGTCTCCCACAGTAGTGGCCAGCTTCAACTCTAATTGAGCTTTAGTCATGTGAATTTTCTCTGTACAGTGGTGAACAGCATCTAATATCAAAAAATGAGTCTTTTTTCCATTTATCACCACAACTATGATGTTTCAAAGGGAAAGTTTCAAACGACAAGACTGTCATTTTCTAAGCTAGGGACAGAACTAGGAATCTTGAAAAAAATGAAAAATCTACAGTATCACTCTATCCCATACTTCACTGCAAAAAATAAAATGCCTTAGCTATGCTGCCTCTAAACTATTTAGTATCATCTAGAACTTTGTTCATGTTTTTTTCTTTTTGAATCTGGGAATTTATGTAATTATTTGTTTAAAAAGCTGGTTGGCTTTTGACAATCTCTAGTTGGCAAAAGCTGGCATTCTATTGGCATTTTTTCTCCTTGCATTTCTTCTATATACCAAACTAGTGATCTGTGCTACTCAGGGGGAGTAACCATCATGTTTCCTAGGGCCTACAGAAACACTCAGCTATACTGCATTTCAGTGGTAAACACAGCAGTAATCACTTTATTCTTTGTCTAAGGGACAGGAGCACAGAATTAAATATAAAATTATTAATACAGAATTAATTGTAGAAAATGGTACAACGTAATGCAACATAATAATAAAGTAAAACAATCCCTAAAGAATACATTTAACCATTTCTATATCCTTCGGTTTATGTGTGATCAGACTTATTTCACCAAATATCAGTCCAGAATGATTTTTTTACAACTAAGTTATAAATCCCTGAAAACAGAGGGAAATAATGGAAACACTGACTACAGTATCATAAATAAAAACTTCCTCTGAAGGATTTCCAAGATTTCTGGTTCATAAGAAGTTTATTGTTTCAATTGAGACTTACACCAAACTTCAAATAATAACACACTACAAATTTGTATTGTAAGCAGTACAAATAAAGTAAATTTATTTATGATGCTTACTGGTAATTGTTCACGTTCCAGAAGTGAAAAATGACAAGGACAAAGGAAGTATGACAGCCTATATTCTGTGAAACCACACATTTACTTCCAGAAAGACTTCACTACAGTTGGAATTCAACCAATGCCATACTCTTACCAGTAAGAATGCTTCTATTGTAAAACAAATGGTATATTTTTCACATCACTGGTTTTTATGTGCATTTTCTATTTATTTTTGTGTCCCTCACAAGTCAATTTTCTATATCTTTATTCTTTTTTTTCCTTAACTGACTGAAACACCTGTTCCATTTGTGTTTCAAAGGCTGTACTGACTGAATAAATATAGAAATTGTATGGGAGAATTCATATACTTGTTTCTGTTCTGGAACTGCTGATTTTTCTGAGGTTAAGTAGGGTATATGACCTAATTACTAGTACCTGTTTTCTGAAAGTTTTAATTTTTGTTCACTAGTGCAAGGCAGGCTTTAATAATTGACATGCAGATGTTGCTAGTTCTACTGATTTTCAGTGGTATGTGGGTCAAATTTTTCTTTTTTTTTTTTTTTTTTTTTTTTTTTTTTGGTGAGGTCTAAACCAGTATTTTGATCCTATGGTGTTATCATTCTATAATTTGGTACTACCATTCACATTATGCTAATTCGCTTTTACCAGTATCATACTATATTTGGCTAAAATACTCCAATTAAATTAAAAATAATATAAAGTATTTGTATAATGATTTGCAGCTTTGGATTTAGGAACAAAAAACCTGAACTCTTCTGCCTTTGGCAAGACAGTGCTTAAATTTGTCTATCATAACAATAAGGCTGCTCTGAGATGTCATTAGAGCAAAAGCAGACCACAGCCCATTTTCCCATACTTCATAGAATCATAGCAGTACTAAAGTTGGAAAAGACCTCTAAGCCCACCATGTCCACCATTAACTTTGCACCACCATGATTACCACTAAGCCATGTTACCAAGTGCCACAGCCACACATTTTTTTAAAACATTTCCAGGGATGATGATTCCACCACTTCCCCAGGCAGCCTGTTCCAGTATCTGACCACCTTTCAGTGAAGAAAGTTTTCCTAATACCCAGACTAAACTTTCCCTGGAACAACTTTATCGGCGGAGGGGATATAGACAGATTGTGCACAGACCAATATGATCGACAAAATGTCCGATTTATTACAAGAAGGATGCTCATTATATACTGCTTCTACATCCCAACGCATGATCACCTCTTCTACAGTATTGGGTACATAAGAAAAACATACTTTGTTGTCCACTGCTAATTGGACCACAGCAGGTGTCCATATGATCTTGAGGGCACGTTTACCCTCTTGAAACTCCACCTTCACCTTGGCACTGATCCTCCTTTGTTCTAACTTCAAGGGCTGAAGCCACGTTAGCTACGCAGCTATGCCAAGGCAAGGCTCACAGAAATGCAGGAGAAATTTTTCATAGGCAAGCTTTGTTGTCCCAATACAACTTGAGGCCATTTTGTCTCATCTTGTCACGACTTTCTCGTTCTTCAAGCACTCACCATGGAGAGACAGACAGTTAATTCTGAATATCTGTCCTTGACCACTGACAAGACAGGAAACCCAGAGTAACACAACTCTAATCATGAGCAGTTCAGTTAAATATCTAAGAAAGGTGGAGTGACCTTGAACCTTGAACAAGAGCTCATCAAACTCAAGTGGACGGTTAGAGAGGCACTAGACCAGCTTCCGAGGAGTGTTTCAACATTAAGAAGGTATTTCAACTCAGTGGTTAATACAAACCATGCTGGAATGCCGAGCTGCCCCATTGGCTTCTCATTACTCTGTCTTTCTCTATTTCTGTTTCAAGTCTTTGCAGACATTCATACTGTCATGACGGATTGCCTGTGCAACAAAAATTATAATCCTTATGCCAAAAGGTGTTTCACAACAGCATATTTGGAAACCAAATGAAGTGGTCTGAATGGAAATTCAATATACTTGCAGTCAGCTGGAAATTCATTTTTCCCATTTCTTTTCCTTTCATCATTTAACAATTAAATGTAACCATTCTTCCCTTGACATGCAGAATGATTATTGTTATTCGTTGTCTTTTATCAGTATCTTCAAGCAGTTTATGGAAATCAGCATTTTCTAACATTTTTGAAGTATGCAGATAGGATTTTCAGAGCTCTGGCAGATATCTTTCATGTTTATAGTTAGAGGAGTTACTGTCCTATGGTTTTGACTTGGCCATCTGTCTTAGGTCATCACCAATATTGCAGAATGACAGAACAGGATATGCGTCTGTGCCTCAACTGTCACCTTTTACAGCTCAGTTTATTAAGGAGCACATACCTTCATTGCAATTTAATCTAATATTCTGTACAGCAAACCATGGTGACTGACACATAGCTCATATTCTATCCTTCCTTTCCTGCTGCTGCAGAAGTAATCCTTTGAAAAGAGATAGCAAAGACATCTGGGTGCTGTAATGGTTTAAGCTACAACTGCTAAATCTGCCAATACTTACCTCTCAGTGCTCACATTGAATTTACTAGGGTTTGGATTAGCCCTTAAATAAGGAAACTACAGGACAGGGAATTTATTTGATCTGTCTGAGGTCACACAGTGGCTGAGTGACAGAACTGGTGTAAAACAAAGGGAGAATTTCCAGAATAAGAAAATGGTAGTAGTTAAGTAACCATTTACTTTCCAACTATATGAAGAGAACATTTCCTTAGCTGCATAATTTTTTTTGATCTAGTTAATTTTATTTTTTTTAAGTACACACAAAGTTAAAGTTTGCACCTTAATTAATAAGATCATTAACAATGTAATCGAATTAACCACACATATATATCCCTCTATTACAAACACAGAAAAGTTATGTGCGGCAGTAAGGAAAGGGTAAAAATCACAGCTAATTTTGGCCAAAGCTGAACCTCCTAACTGAAAGCTGAAGCGCTGAAGCACTGAAGCCTGCCCTTTCACAAGGATTTCTTTTCTGCAACGAAAGCAAAATTCTCTAATTTTAGCCCCATGTCCCTCTCAGGTTATTTATAGAGCAAACATACCTTACTCTATTTCTGCTAAAATTATTTGCATTCAAAATGTACTTATTTTATTCTAAACTAAGCCGTATGCTGCTGGTGATTTAAAAAAAAATAACTTCATTATTGAAATATATCGAAGCAAATGTTCACACATATATATACATACATGTAACCGTAGTTTCTTTTTCTCTAGCTGATCATTTCTTCCTGTGTAGATCTGATGTTTTGCATCTGAGAATAGAGATTATTAGCAACACTAAAGGGAAAAAAAAAAGGATATTTTTCAACAAGAGCCTCCTCTTTGCCAGACATCCCAGGGTTCGTCTCCAAGGACTTTAAAAGAAAGGAAAGAATGAAGAACGGAAACCATAAAGCATGCATTACTGCTATCATCTAATTGCTGAATGAATAGCACAGTTGTTTAGTCTGATTGCACTAAGCTAGTTATCCACTGCAAGCCTCATTGAGAAAAAGGGAATCTACACAAATTATAGGGAAATTCAAGCACTAAAGGAATGTTTTGGTTCAGAGGTTTGCAATGACTATTGGCTTTGGTTCCTGGTACAGTTTGCCTTTGCCATATGAACTCTGTTGGGCTGGGTCAGCCCAAAGCTTTCCAAAAAGCCTGAGAAGAGGACAGACTTCCTCGTCATCTGTAACCCATAAATAAATTAAAGTGATGTTCTCCAGTTAGAGTTTGTTTCTTGGCAGGCTAATATGCAATCAGAGAAAGAAAAGCTTTTAATTTGTGGACTTCAACTAAAGGAAGGAAGTTTTTGTGTGTGGATTCATCAGAAAGCAAAATATTAAGAATTGGAAGAGGAAAAACATATGTTGCAGTCCCCACAAAAAATAAGTGAATCAAAAAAGTGCTTTAGAAACATGCTTTCAATTGATGATGTTGAAAAAGAAAGCATTCCTTTACAAGGAGCAGGCAAAGTAGTTTCACCACCATCACCTTATTACTGCATAAGAACAGGTTTTTCAGGCACATTTTTTTCCTAATTCATACCGCTTATACAGAAATAGCAAAAAATTAAACAAGCCTGATATGCCAGGTTCTGCTGGGCTTGCGTTCTCCCTCTTATCATATTGCAAAATGTATGCGTAAGTATGCAGAATGACGGGGATATGGCTCACACTTCCCTGCTATTTCTATGACATCACAACCAAGAAGCAATTGCAGCAAGTATGAGCCGTGACATGAGCATATTCAGTGTACTCTTTTGAATACTTTGTTTCAGGCAGAGAAGACATTGCAGCACAGCAGCTACACTTCACATCTTGCAGCCTACTGCAAAGCTCCATTGGACTCCCCTTGCATTCAGACTCATCTCTCACATGTTCTCAGATTATTTCTTTCAAAATCTCTTGCAATCCTAGTGTCACTGAGATGAACTTTCAGTAGTTATTAATTCCCTGTTAGTTAAATAATTAAATCTCTGTGAAACCTGATTAGACCTACCAAAATAAAGATATCTAACTTTTTTCTTCACCTAATGATTACAAAATAAAATTAAATAAGAACATCGTAAGATGCTGCAGTTAGAAAGAGCATATCTCTAGATGGACTTCTGTGAGTCTCTGACTTTTGTAGAAAGCATGAACACTGTTCCCAGGTCACGCTTCCCTCTTCTGGGGACTCCCTGTGCCTGGCACAGCTGATATAGGGTCCTACTCTTCATTGTCCAAAGCAGCAATACCTGTGTTACAGATGCTGCTGAGTGAGAGGTGAGACAGAGACCTCACTGAATGAGTCACACAAACCAAATAACAGAAATGCTTAATGGTTATTGACTTATAATGTCAAGACAATATCCTGCTAGTACGACTTCCTTTATCTGGAAATGAGTTTCAGCTTTGCCAACAAAAGAGCTGTTTAGTTGCAGCTCCAGCAGCCCTTTGTGAGCACAGCCATATCAGCCACACCAAGCCATTCTAAATATCAGCAAGCTTCAAGAGCTGTTTCTCTTGACATCTGTATCAACTGCTATAATATACCTCTAGGGATAAGTATTATTTGAATATTAGCTGCATTGTATTTAGAAATGTTTTATAATCTCAAATTTGGAGCCTCTTTAAACTACATTATAAAATGCATTATGGAAAATGAGACTTAAATCAAATTTAGATCCTATTAAATATAAGTTAATGGGTAAAGTGCTACTGGCTTTACTCAGATCTCAATAAGACCACAGATGTCTCATTTTCTTTCCAAATTCTATTGTTAAAAAATTTAGTTACTCTTTCTCTTTAGTCCCACAAAACAAGAAATAACAATCGAAGTATAATGATTATAACCAAGAACTGACTCTATCAACACAATGAATATACAATGACAGGATTTTACTTTCTTGTTTACCAGCCTTTGCAAGTAAATTCATGTCAGTTCTCCTTTCTATCTCCAGTTGAGACAACTGTAATTTAAATATTTATATTCACCAGAATCTTTCTATGTAATTATTTGTCTTTGAAATTACCCTTATTCATTCAAATAAACTTTCAATGGGATAAGAAAGCATGGCTATGAAGGACCAGGTATTCAAATTGAAGGCAATTAGCTGTAGGTGCTGGGTTTTTGTATGCCTTACAGACCACCAAGCACATATTCTGCACTTAACGAGGAAGAAATAACAATTAATCTTAAGTTTTTGGCAAGATACAATCTAGGCAAGAGCTTAATACATTTGAACTACTGCTCCTCATTCTTAAAACAGGAAATTGGATTTCTGTTTCTCGTGTGGAGAGGATCTTAAATAAACTGAGGCCAAGGCTGTGCAGTCAATAATACTTCTCAGGGAACTAAAAGCAGTGCTGGTGATCCTGATGTTTTCAATAGAAGGGTCTGATGCAGACAGCCACGGTTAGGGTATATCTCCTGTGCTGCGTGACACCCTTTCCTCACACGCATTGTCAAACAGCAGTTGCCTGAGTTCATCCCTCAGCAGTTTGGGGTTAGGAAATCCTTTAACATGTCTTGGCTCTTGATCCCAAAGGTTTGAGGCTGAAATGAAGGATGTTTTAAGGATTTTATATGCCCCTTAACTAAGCTCTGGGTAGCACTGTGTGCCATCTTCATGAGAGGGCGCTTGGTACATTGGGGTATTACATTTCTCAGACTCAAAAGCACTCGTGCTTTCAACTCTCCCTGCTAAAACCCTTTTGCTTCAAATCCCGTTCCAAATACTGTACTGAAGGATTTGACTGAAGCCTAATTTCATTTTCCCATGGGTGAAAGAGAAACACAACACTTTGCATCCACAGTGTCAGTGGAATTACTACTGCCTTACGCCTGGCAACCTACTTTCCCAGAGAAAAGAGAGACAGAAAATTGCATGTCTATGGAAGGAGCAGGAGGTGGGATTGTGGGGAATCCCATCATCTCCTTTGTTCTGCTGATAGCTCCTCTGGGATGGCTGCATCTCCTGAGCCTCCTTCCTTCTCAACCTCCTGTTTATATGAACATGCTATGCGGAAAAAAAGGAGGAAAAAAAATCCCATTACAACTAGCAATTAAAGGCTTTTAGGTCTGCACACAGTGACAGGAACATCATTGCCTCAGCACTACATTTTCTGTGCCAGTCTAACTCTGCAGTAGTCCTTAGCTTCAAGTTTTTTCCTATGTTTGCATTCTAATTTTAGTGGTGAATAAAATGCTTCTCAGAGTAATCAAAGTAGATCAGTAGCACAATCATGACAGTAGAAGAAACATAATTTCAGTCTCTGTTATGTCACATCATGAAAAAAACACTTTTTTACATTGCCCCAGTGTCACATGAAAACTCACTTTGGTAGAATACTAGGAATATTATTCCTTGTATGTGATTTTACACACAAATATTCTTTTCAGCAAATCCATTTGGTATTCAAATTCACCCAAAGATACTCAGTTATTGCTCTGTAGTATACCATATTTCTTACATTTTCTGGTCAAAAATGAAAAATTACAGAGTATGTACAGCCCAGAATTATATTCAGTTTTCTCAGAATGAGGTTTCTAATTGCTGTCTGAGCTACAGAAAGGAATATTCCACTGACAGTTTTTGATATTCAGGTTCCAGCCAAACTTATGAACTCTGGAATACACAATTAAAATCAATACATTAAACTTGATCCTTTCCAAGCCTTCAGAGAGCTTTTGCTTCTTCTTCAGTTTGAAAATTAAAGAAAAAAACTTATAATGTTAAACGTATTTACTACCTAATTTTATTCATTCATCTCTGTTATTAAGATACCTAATTTTTTGTACTGAGGCTTATGAAAAAATAAAAAAATAACATCACTTGAAAACATCCAAAGGGCTGGAACTTTCCTGTCTCAGAGGCTAGAATCCTTATTTCCACACTCTGGTTCTGAAGCGTAATGTGACCTGGGCATGTTAACTAATCTCTGGTGCCTCCATTTTTCATATGGTTAGTGTCATCTACTTCTAGACTCCTTTGAGACTTACAAATAAGAGAAGATGCAGTAGGTATGTTAAATATTATTAATCTCATTTAAATACAATTACCAAATGAAAAAATTGAGTTATTTTTTCTTGTTAGTGCTTGTATTCAAACTAAAATTATCCAGGGGCACATTCATCCAAGATGCTACCTCCATTTTGCAAATGGAAATGAATCCATGATGATAGGAGATCAGATATCTTTCATGCCCCAAATATAAAGAACTTCATTTATTTAACTGATTCTGCTCCCAGTTTTGAGTCTGAGAGTAACAAAGCCAGTATAAACTTAGTGCACAGCTCAGTAATTAATTGTTTGGAAACAATTCATTTTAAATCCTTTTGTATTTATAGCTACTATGAAACAATGAAGATAACATCTGAGAAGGCTCCAAGTGAAGCAGGAAGACGCTGCAAAGGATGTACCATTGTCCTTACTAATAAAGCTTCTGTCTGAGTGCAGCATAAGGTGCAAAGATTAGAATCAGCTGTGTCCCTGGAGGGACGAGACAATGCAGAGCTATAGTGAGAAGAGTAATATGCCCTTCTGGGACAGTGTATGTGGAGGATGAAGTGTCCTTCGTGGTTTGCTCAGTTCTATTCGCACAGATGTCATGGCAAAAAATACCTTCACTATTCATTTACAAAAACCTTGCACAGCATGTCTATAATTCTGTATGGACTCCAAGAACAGACTTTTTGGCCAAAATGTATTTAGTCAGTGTCAGAAGAAATGCTTCTGGTCCTTGTGGATTAACACCACAGGCTTGCATCGTGACTTTGTTAATAAAGGTAAAAACACTCTTTCACAGAG